TGTCCAACAAAACTATAACTGACATTTTTTATAGTTTTTTTTTATTGCGCAAAATAAATTATTATTATCAATATTTTCCAATTTCTTTAATCACTAGATCTAAGATTATCCTTTTTTACAACACCATGTATATATTTAATTCATACCAGTAATTCCAGTGCCTTCCAGTTAAGGTTACAACGGTTTTGAATAATCGTTCTGTACCTCTTTAGCTCTTACCGACAACATTCCTACAGAGAATTTACATAGTAGAGAGAGTAGTACAAGAGTAGCAAAACGTTTGGAGACAGAAAGGGCCGTCCGAACAAGATATGTTCCAAGCCCTTGGATTAGTTGGTAATTTTGGCTCTGGCCGTAAAATCCTTCAATATCATTCCGTAAAAATATTCTAAAATAGATTAGTTTATGCACATTTAAAAATGTTTATATATCGAAACAGTGACTATTTTTTTTAAATAAATGACGAAAGTTAAACATATTTTGAGGTATCCATTCAAATCAGTCTATCGGAAATGTCACTAATAATTATTCAGAAAGCATTATATTTTGTTTTTTTATATAAGAAAGTCAGTAAATAAGATCACAAGTGGTAGAAGAAGTATCGGTTGTCAGCACCAGATATGGAGTCACAATCTTTCATAGAGACAACAATCCGCAAATAAACAAGCAAAATTGTTTATATAAAGGAAGAACAAAAAAAAAATTTAGAGAAAATCATATAAAATGAAATGCTTTGGTGATGAGTAACAAAAATTTGGTTTTTTGAGTGATGTGTTTTCTCATTGTTTTTAGGTGTATACATATTTTATATGTACATATTATTTTTTGTTTTTGTGAGTAACGAGTAATAACGTGGTTAAAAAATACTTTTGCTATTCTGTAACAGGCCAATATTAGCATGTCTTAAAAAAGCTATCTTAAAAATGAGAGCTGCTACGAAAAAAGTCATTTTTGAAATCAGAGCATCAAAAATATTTAAATTCAGTGATTACTTCGTCAGCAAAAAATTGGCTGTGTTAAATGTTTATATTATATATTACATTACATTATGATAATTTATATATTAATTAATTTGGTACGATTTGTACACGTTTTATAAATGTTTGTCAAATATATTTTTTCCTTAACATTACGTTTCGTGTCTATTGGAGTGTTAAACACTGTCCTAACATTTACAAAATATTACATTAACAATACAATTTGCCACGAAGTCTTCATCATACTTCCTTTAAATCTTAAAATATACTCAAATAGTTTAAAACAAATATCAAAATAGTCAGACTTTGAAATTGTTGAATACCAAACATTTTTAAAAGTTAATATGTTTCTCTAAAATCCATGTTCCTTTCCTTCATTGGATTTTAAACAAAAAAGTTTGAGAAATAAATAGTTATAATATATACCATAGGTTGATGTTCCATAAAAGCACAACATAAAATAATAAATGTGTAGCATTACAGAAGTGTCATACTCATTTTTGAGTTCATATTCATAGTGTAGTATTACAGAAGTGGGTGTAACTTAACAAAATATTAAAATATACATATTTCCAACAATTACACACACACCTTAAAAAGGCTTTGGAAAAATAATTAGAGAATGGCATTCAGATAAAAAAAAACAAATAGAAGATGAACAAGCTTCCCATTTTTAAGCTACCAAATAAGAAGATAGGAACTGAATTAAGAGAAGTGTAACTACATTGGGAGTAATTCAAAACGATATCGAAGAATTAAGAAAGCAGTGATTATAAATATTTAAATCACTTATAACAATTTGGCAAATATCGATTACTTATCCTACAAATACACAGCTAGTATATCAATATAACAACTTTATTATAAAAAAATAAAAATATCGTAACAATAAAACACTGAAAACTTTTGTTTTCAAAATTTCGACAAAATTTATTTTAAATAATTATCACTACAACTGTTTCGGAAGAATGCCTTTCTTAAGTGATCTATTTTTGGTAAGCGTTTGCACTTCATAGTAATTAACCGAATAAGTTGAGGAGGGGAGAACTGTTGGTCTTAAGCTGGTCATTCAGAATTGTCTGTATTTTTTAATTTGTTAATTTCTATAGATTCTAATAAACATCGTTAAAGGTCGTTATTTTGAATGAGAAGAATTTGAAATTCGTCATTAAAAAAATGATTATGGTTTAGAAGATGAAGTGCATACGTAGAATCTGGTTTTCTATTACTGAAAGCCCTTTTATGTTCTGCTATACGTTTGATAAAAGTTCTACCCGTTTGACCGACGTAAGTTTTTCTGCAGTCACCACATTTAAGTTTTCATAAGTGCTGGCTGTATACCTAGCCTGTAAATGTAATCTAGTAGAAGGTACTACGTTTTTTCTCTTGCGGTGGAAATAGTAGTTTCAGGGCTTTCTTATGTAATTTTTAATTTAAAATTTTATTTATTGTGTATTTGTTGTAAAGTCCGACCAGTAATCTAAGAGAGTCATTAATATTTATTATCGATAAGTGTCTACCGCAAGGCGACAGGGGATCGCCTCTGGACAGGATCGTACTTTTATTTTCGATTTGCATTACTTATTCGATTGTTAGCCGATCCCCGGCATCTCCAAAATTTTTGGACCATCACTGGATGTGTTCCGTTGCTGGTAGTGGAAAGAAAAGAGCTTTATGAGAGAAGAGGCCCTAACCTTACTGTGGCTGAGAGAAGACAGGTAAGAGAAAGGTCAGTTGAAAGATGGCAAGAAGAATGGAACAATACGGAGGATGTGGCACAGTGGACGAAAATGCTGATCCCTAACATAAGAGTTTGGGCACAACCGATTGGATTATTTCCTGACGCAGGTGCTCACAGGACACGGGTGTTTTAGGGCCTACCTTTATAGGATCGGTAAGGCTGATACAGATGAATGCCTATATTGTGGATACTCGGACACTGTGACACATACGATGTTAGATTACAGCAGATGGATAGTGGAAAGGAACAGAATGGAGAGAGAGACAGGTGTGAATTTTGTTACAGTGAGAGAAATGATTGAGAGAATGATTGAAAATAAATTAGGTTAGATTAACATACACAGTTATATCCGTGCAGTGATCAAAAACAAAGGAAGAGGAAGAAAGACAGCTGGACCAACGGCAAAGGTAGAGTGAATGATGCTGAAAGGTGAAGTTAGAACAGTGGGCCACACTTTTTGAATTATAATGCGTGAGTTTGACTGTGGGGAAGGAGGAAATGCCCTTCTGAGAATGATGCCGAACTAGGAGTGTGGATGTGTATGAATGGAGAATGAATGAATAAAGGTAGTGCTTCGGAAGTGATGCCGGCCTTACAGCGGCCATTCCGCTTCCGGATCGCTGGATGACAGAGGAGGGTCTGGTTTAGCAGGTAGGCGTTCGGCGTAGACTCGGCGACAAGAGGGCATTTTAAAGTACCTCGGGAACTATCGCCGGGAGTACGAAGAACGAATCCTGCACTAAGGTCAGTCAGGCGGCGTCCTGGACTGAGATGTCTTTTGAAGATTCCAGACCCTCCTCTATAAAGACGAAAAAAATAAAAGTTTATTTAAAAAGGTGTATTTAAATATTTACAGTATCTTTCTAGCTGTCACTGGTTATTTTCTCCATTTCTAATTCAATCAGACGAACCACAGATGAATTTAGTATAAGCGAAATATTACTTTTCCTTACCGATGCTTTTAGCTCATGCCATATGTGTTCAATAGGATTGAACATGCAATAGTAAGGAGGAAGTCTTAATAATATATAACCCATTTCTTCCGCCAAACTGTCGCAATAGTATTGTTTTCTGATGGAAAATGATTTTAAAGTTTCAAGTAATTGTTTTTATTTCAGGTTTCTGAGGGGGAATGCTAAGACTAATTGAAAATGTAATTTTTATTAAGAACTTCTATTTTATTTTTTACGGTAAATTGTGGTGAAAATTTAGTGCGTTAAAAAAAATCTCTAATAGTTTTTTGACCAACTTCAGACCAACAGTTCTCCCCCCTCAACTTATTCAGTTAAAGCCTATAAAATGTAAACGCATAACAAAATTAAATCACTTGAGAAAGGCACTCTGGCGAAACAGCTGTAGTGATAATAATTTCAAATAAATTTTGTGGAAGTATTGATAATAAGCAAATAAAGTTTTCGGTGTTTATTGTTAGATAAAATAAATGTCCATCAAGTAACGATCGAATCCAATACTTGGCCAACAATCCAAAAGATTGTTTAAAATCACTCAATTAGGTCGAAAAAATTTGAATTGAGAAATAAGAAAATGTATGGAACATAAAAATGTCAGTCCTCGAAACATTTCCACGAAAATAACGAGTTGTTATTTTCGACTTTACAAATATGTTAAGCTGAATGGTACTTTTCCAGTTCGGTTGTCAAACCTCGTTTAAAAATTAAGGAAATATTATTTCTAACACAACACGTCAAACTAGCCAATCGGAGTTTTAGTTTGGTATTTTTTATAACTGTATTGAATTGAAAATTCCAAAATTGTACAGCAATAAAATAGTTTGTTCCAACGTTATCTCCTTTCTTTTGCGAAAACTTAAAGTTAGCTTATGTACATGCTACCCATAAATAAACGACGCATAGAATTGATTTTTGCGCATTAATAATGAACTGCTATACTAAAAAATACCAAATATCAAAATTCCATAAATTCTATAAAACTTATCACAAAGAAAAGTTTCGTATTAACTAGCTTTTGTCTTTTTACATATATAAAAGAAATATTTATAATTAATATCTAATCAAGTAGCTTCGTAAGGCCGTATAAGCCATTCTACTTTAAATACTCTATAATTTCACTTTCGTTGAATCGTTTGGCAAAAAGAGACTACTAAATAATTAACTGAGACATTACGATACATACACTCAACTACCTACATTTTAAAACAGAAAACAAAATCAAATAGAAGCATAACACTGTAGAATTAAAATTGTGTATATATGAACCATTACTAACAATAGTGTTATAAGCGTAATACTGCTGATTCTCACCTCTGGCTGTTTTGAATTTAACTTGTGCGGGCGAACTATCACCAATGGAATTGTGCGCGCGCACCTCAACTTTATAAATCGTATCGGAATGTAAATTGTGCAGTTCGTAACTAGTGTATTGAATGGATCTTTCAATTTGTTCCACGCAGTTGCTGTCACGCCAATTTCCATTTACTTTTTCGGTCTGAAATAAAAAATAGAAATTTAATTTTATTTTCTAAATATAAAAAATAATAAATAAATAACTAACAATTCCATAACTGATAGTAAGCAAAATTAATTCTTTACAGTAGAACTATTTGCCATAACTTGCCTAACCTTTATTCTAGAAAAAAAAAATTCCCAAATATATTCTAATTCTAAGAACTACCAAATCCATAACTGATAGTAAGCAAAATTAATTCCTTACAGCACAACTATTTGCCATAATTTGCCTAACCTTTATTCTAGAAAAAAAATTCTCAAATCTCTTATAATATCTGATTCACTTAGTTGTCTGATTTTCATTTCTCATATTTACCCCTCTCATCCAACATTACAGCAGATTAAGTTAATTTTATACCGTATATACCAAAACAATTTGACAGTAGAGTTCCTCTGGGTACCGTCACACGTTGGAATAGATGGTACCTAACGAAAAAGGCAGATAGTTAGCTAGGTCCGCAGTAACCAGTACAGCTGCATCAGTGGAAAACCTAAAGGTGCATTTAGATTTAAAACCTTACTTAAAAGCAAAATTGCACGATGTTTGGCAAAACCAACGGAATAGAAGTACCACTAAATTGATAGAAATAAAACCTTCCGTCCTTCCATGGAACTTCTGGCCTTCAAAGCGACAACATCAAGTCCTAATAACACGTCTCAGATTAGGACACACTTCTACAACACATGAATACGTGTTGAAGAGAGAAGAGGAACCAGTGTGTTTTTTTTTTGTGAATGTAAAGTGACAGTGAAGCACATTTTGATTGACTCTCCAATATTCCCAGATGAACTATATCACCACATTACAAAAACATTAATCCCAGATGAACTATATCACCACATTACAAAAACATTAAAAGAACTTCTAGAAGAATCTAAATATGTAGCTGACCTGATAGAATTCTTAAAATCTATAAAAAATTTTTAATAAAATTTAACACAATACATCAATAATTAAAATATATATTGTATACCTTATTATGTAATTGATATTTTGTATATGCCTATGTATGTATTTATCACTTTTTGTATTTTCTTATGCTAATAACCCGAAGTGGTTAAGGGAAAAAAACTCTTGGTCAAAATAAAATTTAATCTAAACGTTTGAATAAAACTAAACAGTGGGAAAAAATCCTCCATCTCATTCCTTAAGCCCTTGTTAGAGCGTGGTGACAGTCTAAATATTGTTAGCTTGCATTCTCCATTTTCCACCAGACTTCCCATCAGAGTCTTCATTTGGACTGCCCACTATGTTGGATATCTTCCTCCTGGTCTACGGTCTTCTACCTTTCCTTCTACTACCCATAGTTCAATAGTCCCCGATTTTCTGGCTAGGTGACCGAAGTATTTTAGGTATGCTTGTTTTACTGTTTTTAATAGCCTGTCGCTTATATGAAGCTCTTCCAGAATTGACAGGTTGGTTCTATGTTCTGTCCAGGACACAAGCAGAATTCTTCTATAATCCCACATTTGGAAGGCTTGGATCTTACTCCTATAAAATCGATAGGTTAGGTTAGGTTGAGAATCCATGTTTCAGCTGCATATGTAGCAATGGGAAAAATAAGGGCATTGGCTAACCTGAGCTTAGTATTCTTTGTTATTGTTCGGTCTTTCCATATTTTAATAAATTTAGCTGTTGCGGTTGTGGCCATTGCTAGTCTACGCTTGATTTCTGAGCAGCAATCGTTATCAGGGAGCTTAAGTATACAAATCCTATGTCTACCACTTCGAAATTCGCCACTTGGTGTATGTGCGGTAAATTATTATGTGCTCTGTCTACGATCATTATTTTTGTTTTTCCGGTGTTGATCTCAAGTCTGAATTCTTCGCTTATCCACCTTGGCCGTTCGGTAGTATAAATGTGTCATATGTGTATCACAGGTTATTGATGTTTCTGTCTCCTATAGTGGTTTCTACTATGGATGAAACTACACACAGCAACTACACGCAGACACAACTAGAAGAAACTCTGAAAGTGAGTATAAAAGTGAACCCTCCCCAAAATATTGAAGTCAGCAGTTGTAAGGGCAATCACACAGAGCAAATGGGGAAAAGCACCAGGCCCAGACGATATACACATAGAGATTCTAACAATGTTGAGTGAAGACAATTTAGACACCTTGGTAGATCTTTTTAATGACATTTATGGGTCCGGTCAAATACCACAGGACTGGCTTCAATCAACCTTTATACCAATCCCAAAAAAGCCAAACGCTAATAGTTGCGACCAATTCCGAATGATCAGCTTATTGAGCCAGGTCCTAAAACTCTTCTTAAAGATTATTCACTCAAGAATATACAGAAGAACAGATGTCAAAGAGATATTAGCCCCACACAGTTCGGTTTCAGACAAGGATTTGGCACAAGAGAAGCACTTTATAGCTTAACTGTCCTACTTCAGAAATGCAGAGATCAGTAAAAAGATGTCTTCCTATGCTTTATAGATTACCAGAAAGCATTCGATTGTGTTAATCATTCAGAATTAATAAGATTGCTCCAGGAACGTTCGATAGATGAGAATGACCTGAAAATCATAAAGAACCTTTATATGAATCAAGTGGCATCTGTGAGAGTAGGACTGGAATCTAGATCATACATATTTCTCAATCGAAAAAGGTGTACGACAGGGTTGTGTTCTGTCACCCCTCGTTTTTCTTTATCTTTACTCTGAAACGATTTTCGATAGAGCCTTAAGTGACACTGAAGATGGAATCAAAATTAACGGAGACTATTAGTCTATTCTTCGCTATTATCTTCGCTATGCTGATTATACAGTCATAATAGCTGATAGCCAAGAAGCGCTACAACGACTAATAGATAGAATAAACACTGAAGGAGAACGAGTGGGCTTGAAGATTAATATAGACAAGACGAAGGTAATGGTGGTTAGTAGAACACGAAATATGCAATTTAATATAAGAGTAAACAACAAGAACATCCAAAAGATCCCCAAGTTCAGATATCTCGGTAGTTGGGTAACTGAAGATCTAGATCCAGACATAGAGATACGTAGCAGGATTGAGCAAGCCAGAACAGCATTTATTAATATGAGAACCTTGCTAAGCAACAGCAGCCTTAACTTAATGCTTCGATATCGCTTTGTAAAATGTTACATTTACTCCATACTGCTATACGGTGTAGAAACCTGGACCATAAAGGTCAATGTGATGAACCGATTTATAGTAAGGAATATTTCAGACATCTAGACATACAGGGTGAAGTTAATTTAATAAAAATAAAAGAAAAGATTATATTTTACGAACACTTTGAAAATTACAGGGTTGTAAACAAAACAAATCAGTTTACAACCAGTCTAGTTATTGAAAAAAATATATATTAAAATAAATAGGAAAGTGCAGTAGCAAATCAATTTGATACCTGTACAAAAAACGGACAACGAAGCAATGTCGTTATGAACTATGTAAGAGTGGTACACGCTCTAAATCATTTAAAGACAATACATATTGTATAAATTTTCTAAATCCTTTACTTCTTTACAATGTTATTTCTATATTATAAGTATATTTATTTAATTAATATTTCTTCATACATTTATAAACCAGTGACGTATGACGTGTAATATATAGTATAAGTCGTTGATCAAAATTGTTAGCAATAAATCAACCGTATCGTTTCCAAGAATAAAATATGATTGTACTGTCAGATGTTGGTAGTTCAGATTTCTTTCCTAGGTGGCGTAGTTACCTTACTGGACAAACAGTGTGACTTGTCGTTCTAGCCTTTTATATAGATAGATATCTTATAGTAATTTCAGTTCGGCTAATAGAATAAGTCCACAGTCAAAGGAAACCAAGAGCACACACACATCTACTAAAATCTGATCTAAAAATTTCGTAAAAAATAAGAACATTTCACCGGAAGTGAATGTATTAAAACCATAACCAATAATAATGTATATGACAAAACTTACCACACAATATCTTATAAAATAATTTGTAATGCGATCGCCGTTGTCATTCGGAACACTCCACCTTATTTCAAAACGATCAGCATAAGGACTAGGTACTACAATATCCCCTTTATTTCCTTCATTAATACTGTGGTTTTCGACTATCATTTTTGGTTCTGACGGAGCTGATCTTCTTGGCATGGGTATAGTCTGGACATTTGCGAACGCACCCATACCAACATCGTTTTTAGCAGCGAATTGAAAGTGATAGGTTTCTTCTGGTATGAGATTTTCAAGTATATACGGAGCTCCTACAAAAAAAATAAATCAGTTACCATATCTCATGTAATATTAAAATAAACAACTAAACAACAATATTTTTAAACCGGTTTATTCTTATCTCAAATTAGTCGATAGAACGTGAAATTTGAAAATGTAATAAAAAACAAGTCAACGTGAGGCATGTTCTAGTTATCTTCATAGTTATATGATGGTCCATACCGATTTCATAAAATAGCAAATAACGTATCGAATGCAGTATTTTAAATAAGTTAGAATTTACTTTCGCCAATAAACTTGTTATTGGTCTATTTAAAAACACAAAAAATGGAAAGGAAGAACAATTTCCTTTGTATGTTCAGCTATAGTCCAACAATGAACTGAAGAGGGTGAAATATTGGCAAGACGACGTTAACTGTTGGAAAATTCCACAATTAGAGTGGGTCGCTATTTCATATTTTTTTAGGAATGAATTATTTAGAATATTACAAAGCACAATATCTTAGAATAAAGAACGAAGAAAGAGACCGGTAACTCTGGATTAGAGATATAAAAAAATACGAAGAATTTAAGTACCTAGGGATAGTGATAGCGAAGGAAGGAACATCGAAACTGGAAATTCAGCAGAAAATACAACTGGGCCGAAATACAAAAATTAAACTCATTACTTTGCTCTCCTAAAATTAGTTAACAAAAAAAATGACCACTAATGTATTTCTGCAGGATCTTTTATAATGCCAGTGACGGTATAAAAACATGTTCTGTTGAATACATAGCTGTTGAATGCTTGTAAAATACCTGAAATGCTGCAGTTATTATTTTTTTTAGAAGCTTGAATACTTTGGTAGCATTATGAGACACCCTGAAAGATATGAACTTTTACACCTGATCATCTAGGGAAAGATTTAAGGTAAACGTAGTAAATGACTGGTTAAAAAAACCCACACAAAGTAGAATTGATATTAAGAGATTAAGGGAACCACAAACAAAGGAACAAACTGTAAAAACTCCTGAAAATCTACGTAATGCCCAAGAACTAAATAAAAGTAGCTATAACATTGATCAGAAATGGGAAAATATAAAAGTAGCAATAATTAAAACAGCAAATGAAAACTTAAAACCAAAGAATGGAAAACATAAAGATTGGATGACTGAAGAAATACTACTATTAATGAATGAAAGAAAATCATTTAAAACAAAAAATCCAATTAAATAGAATGAAACTGATCGATTAATAAAAAAGAGAATAACAGAAGCTAAGGAGAGAATGTTACATGAGCAGTGCCAAGAACTAGAAGAAATTGAGAAAAAATATGACTTTTTTAACATGCATAAAAGAATTAGAGAATTAACAGGAATGAGAAAAACACTTCAAACTAGGCAACTAAGAGATGAAAGAGGTGCACTTATAACAGATATAAACCAAAAAATGCAGAGATGGACACAATATATAGCACAACTTTTTGAAGACAAAGAGAGAACAGAAGCACCAAAAGAATTTAAGGATGATACTGGGCCTGACATTATACGAGAAGAAATTGAATATGCAATGAAACAAGCTAAAGGTGGTAAATCTCCCGGGCCTGATGAAGTTCCTATCGAATTACTTAAAATTGTGAATACTGAATCTATTGACCTTCTTTTGGATCTATTCAATACCATATATAGAACAGGTATAATACCTAAAGAATGGCTCCAATCAACATTCATACTGCTTCCCAAAAAAGCCAATGCAAAGGAGTGCAATGAACATCGCACCATAGCCTTAATGAATCATGTCTTGAAATTGTTTTTAAAAGTAATTCACAATAGAATACATAAGAAATTAGATGAAGGCATAAGTAATACACAAATGGGATTTAGGAAAGGACTGGGAACACGAGATGCACTGTTTGCAGTAAGTGTTCTTTCGCAGAGATGCTTAGATATTAATCAGGAAGTATAATGCTCGTTTCATTGATTTTGAGAAGGCATTTGACAGAGTGCAGCATAATCGACTTAAAGAAATTTTATTAAATAAAAACATAGACAGTAGAGACATTGGAATCATCTGTAACCTCTATTGGAATCAAACAGCAAAACTGAAAGTTGAAAACGAACTGACCAAGGATGTCCAGATTCGCCGTGGGGTCCGCCAAGGGTGTATTTTATCACCCTTGTTATTCAATTTATACAGTGAAGCCATCTCAGAATTAGCGCTTGCCGAAATCAGTGAGGGCCTTATAATAAACGGTGAGCCACTTAATAACATAAGATATGCTGACGACACCGTCCTTCTGGCAAGAACACTAGAAGAACTGCAACACCTTGCTGAACAAGTAAATATATATTGCAACGATTATGGACTAAAAATCAATTTGAAGAAAACCAAGTTCATGGTATTTACAAAAGCACAAAACATCAAAGTTAAGCTAGTACTAGATAATACAGAAATTGAACAAATATCTTCGTACAAATACCTTGGAGCATGGATCACAGAAGATACTGATCAGACAAAAGAAATAAGATGCCGCATTGAAATTGCGCGGTCAACTTTTAATAGAATGAGAAAACTTTTTTGTTCTCGAACAACTAAGAAAACAATGCGAAGTTTTAAATTCCATAAAAATCAGGAAATTGGAATACTTGGGGCACATCATGAGCGGTGAAAAGTACAAACTACTAAGGAATATAATGCAGGGTAAAATCAAAGGTAGAAGAAGCGTAGGAAGACGTAAAATCTCGTGGCTATGCAATCTCCGTGAATGGTTTGGATGCTGTTTAATTGAACTATTCAGGCGAGTAACCGATAAAATTATAATTGCCAGAATGATTTCCAATCTCCGATAGGAGTGGAACTTGAAGAAGAAGTAATGGCAGAAGACCTTTGTGGCTAAAAAATCGAAGACAATGGTACGGAAAATCGACTACAATCGATCATTATTTAGAGCTGCCGTCAATAAAATTTTTCTAATGGCGAATATGGTAGCCAATATGATATCCAACGATCGATAACGGACATGGAAATAGAAGAAGAATAGATTATGTGAGTTATAGATATTATAATTATAACCATCATGTATCATTTATTACGTCCACTGCTGGACATAGGCCTCTCTTAAACACCTCCATTCTTTACGATTTTGTGCCCTTTGTTGACAATTTTTCGTGATACGCCTGATGTCGTCAGCCCAACGTATAGGTGGTCTTTCTCTACTATATTTGTCTGCTAATAGCCTCCAATTTGTAATTTTGCTCGTCCATCGTGAGTCGTGCATTCTCGCTACAGTTCCGCTATGCGTTCCACAACATCAGCAATGCTTGTCCTTCTTCGCAGATCTTCGTTTCTTATTGGGTCTCGCAACATAACTCCCAGCATAGACCGTTCCATTCGTCTCTGTGCCACTCTCAATTTCGAAGCCATAGTCTTGGTTAGAGTCATAGTTTCCGCCCCATAGGTCGTGACCGGTAATACGCATTGGTCAAATAGTCTTCTTTTGAGTCTAATTGGTATGTTAGCCCTAAGTGTGTCTCGCAGTTTTCCAAGGGCTACCCACGCTAAAGTAATTCGTCTTTTAATTTTGCATGTTTAGTTATCCCTGCTGATTCTTATTTCATGACCCAAATACGTATATTTCTCCACCAGTTCTACCACGTTGTCTTAAATAGTTCATTGGTTATTGGAAACCATATTTGTCATAAACTTAGTTTTGGTCAAGTTCATTCTGAGGCCCATCTTCAAACATGCAAAGTCCAATTCATTTAATATATGTGTGGCTTCTCCTAAATTATCTGTGATAAGGACAATGTCATCTGCGAAATGGAGATGGTTAAGCTTTCACCGTCTATTGTTACTCCTCTGTGATCCCAATTGACCATCTTAAAGACATACTCTAATGCCTTTATGAATTTCTTGGCTTATGCCAAGTTTTATTTTTATTGGTCGGGTTTTATCGTGTATCTTAAATAGGTTCACTATATCTATGGTGCATCCAGCTGTCATTCAGTGCTTCTATAAGGCTGTCTGTTTCGATCGTGTCTAACGGTTATGAAAATTTATGAAAGTGAGGACAAGACGTTTGTTCTATCCTATAGATTTTTTATTCAGTGTTTTCGACTGTATGAAGGTGATCATTGGTACCATAATTTGAACGGAATCCTGCCTGCTCTCTCGATTGGTAGAAATCTAATTTTTCCTCCAGTCTTGATGTATAGCATTGTTCCATTCTTTGGGCACCTCTCTTTATTGCAAACATACATTAAACAGTTTCCTTAATTTATTTAATGGCATATCTCCTCCATTTACCATAGCTTCCATTACAATTCCATCCTCTGCTGAGGCTTTGTTATTTTTCATTTCTCTTAATGCTTGTCGAAGCTCATTTACCTTTATCTCTAGCATTAGTTCGGAACGTTGATTCATGATCTTCTTTGAAATGGCTGTTTGTATTCCTGTATGATCTTACTCGTCTCTACATTATTTTATTTTGCTTGTTTCTTAATTTATAAATTTCGCATTTCCCATTCGCTAGCTTTCTAAGTAGAACTTTTAGGTTCTTATTTTCCTCTATAGTGCAGTTAATATTCGGTTTTAAATTACCTTTTAAATCTCTCCTGACTGCCTTTGAAACAGTGTTATTTATTTCGCTTAGAGTGTGGCTGTCTGCATTCTTATCGCTTCTCATTTGTTTTCTTTGATCCAGTAGCGTTTCAGTATATGAACTTGTTTTACTATCTGATTTTCTTTTAGAATAGTGCACTCGGTGACTTTTTTCAAGGCGTTTATGATGCAATTATTCAAGTCATTAAGTCCAGATTGGTTTTCCAAGGTTTCATGCAGTAGTAGCTTATTATTGATATGTGCCTGATATTGGTTGATATCTAATGGGGGTGTCCAGATACCATGAGATTTATTTTTAATCATTATGTTCCCTTCTCTTTTTATGTTGATTTGGACTTCGCTCGTATGATTCTGTGATCACTGCTTGTGGTGAACTTATTGAGTACTGTTACACCTTTAATTATTTGTTTTTTATCACTTCTAATGTAGTCAATTTCGTTCCTTGTTCTATCGTTTGGACTTTCCCAGGTCCATCTTCTGTGAATATTTTTGTGAAAGAACCTGTTCATGTTGAATAAATTATTCTGGAATAGGAATCCTAGTAGCGATTCTCCTCAGTCATGTCTTCCTGGAAACCAAATTTTCCCAAGGATGTTTCTAGCTCTGCTTCTTTTACATCTAATATTGCGTTAAAGGTTATAGATATTACTAAACCAAAATCGTGAAAATACAGCTTAACCACTGTATGGCGAAAAAGAGTAACCTAACAATATTTCATGGAGTCAAGTTGCCCAAATGTAGTTAACAAAATATTAATATGCTCTATAATTTCTTAAGAAAGCTGGACAGATCAGACTTTTCCAGACATAAATATGTACTGGATAGTAGACAGATACTCCTAACTTGACCCAAGATCTATGAAACCATATAATATTGATAGCATATTTTTAGTGATACTACTTACCATAACTCCATGTATAATTACGGGCAAAATCCCACGACAATTCTCGTTCCGGTTTATACCTTACTGTAAAGGACCTCAACGGTAATCCGTCAAAATTGTTAGCGGGAATTATACTCCATTTTATACTAGTAGCGGTTATGTATTCTGGTTTAGCTTGCGAGATAGGTTCTGGCACGAATGCTTGTTTCAATTTCAGCTTTAGGCTTGCTGAACCTAACTTATTTTGAGCTATACATTCGTATTGAGTAAAAAATCTCCTGTCATTGTATGGTTTTACTATAAGATACGAGACAGGGCCATTTCCTATTTTTTGGAAATTATTATTGTCATGAATTTCTATGTCTCCGTATTTCCACATAATTGTAGCATTGGGTATGGCTTCAGGAAGGCACGTTAAATTACCAGGTCGGTTATTCCAACTCCAAACAGGTGGTAAGTCCTTGGTTCTCGCGAAGGTAGGAGGAAATTCTACAGTTATATGACCGTTTTTATATGCTTTTCCCACTGTATTTTCTGCAATACATTCATAGAGTCCATCATCAGGTCTGCTTAAGTTTGAAATTATCAGTTTTCCCAAAGATTCGCCATTATCTGATATACGTAGCTGTTCTAGTACTACTCTATCATCATCAGGCTGCCTACCAAGTTGGAATGAATCTTTTCGATTTAGTTTTCTAAAAGTAATTTTTGGAGTTGGTCTACCAGAAGCCTTGCAAATAATCTCTGTCTGCCTGCTTATAGGTGCCGTAACGTTTAATAATTCATATATCCTTGGTCTTACGAGTACATTGATTTTAACCGTTGTTTCCACTCGATCTATGGAATTTTCAGCAATACATTTGTATAAACCGTCGTCATTTTCGAATTCGATTCTGTTTACTCTAAGTTCACCTGTGTTTTTCTTTACTTCAAATCGATCGCTATTGGATAAATCTTCACGGTTTTTAAGTTTAATCCATTGGTATGTTGGTGGAGGCTTGCCAGTAGCCAAGCATTTGACCGACGCAGTGTCACCTTCTATAATTGTTACTGGTTCTATTGGTTCAATTTTTGGAGGAACCTGAACTTCAACCTGCGAAAAAGACAGATTCAATATTATTTAAGGCAGCTAAATGTAAACTTAAATTACTAAGCAATTGTGAATTACTAATATAAAAAGCCCCTTCCTAACATGATGTGGATACAAATTAGAAATCCCTATGCCAGTGCATTCGTCGTCTACTTGTTTTGCAACGTTTTGAAAACTAATATTTACATTCCTATTTGTAATTTTAAAGATATAAAAGCATAATATGTAGTTTAGGGTGCATCGAAATAATAAAAGTTGGAAATGTTGTATCTAATGGTGTGAAAAAGTTGCTAGTGTTATTTTTTAGCATATTAGTATTTTTATTTTTTTTTCTAAATTAATTTGTATTTAGAGCACATATTATCATAAAATATGTGCTTACTCGATCTAATATCAATTAAATAAACCTTAAAATGTTGTAAATTACACATTTAAACGATATTTAAAATTTCATTTGTTTATTAACCTCAACCCCATTGAAAATTACCGCAAAACGTCTATTTCTACTAATATCTGCTATTCGAAAATTCATAATATGTACTACCATTGAAACAAAATCGGCAACCATGCGTATCGTATAGATCCTGATATTCTAATATCAGTGGTCCGAGACACTCCGAGATGCAACGGTTCAATGTCATTGACGCTTGGCTAAAATCATTCGAGTAATAATCGTTCTTCTTCTTCAAGTGCCGTCTTCGTTCCGAAGTTTGGCTATCATCAAAGCTATGCGTATTTTTGATGCTGCAGATCTAAACAGTTGGTAATTGGTGCAATTGTACCATTCTCTCAAGTTTTTCAACCATGAATGCCTTCTTCTTCCTATAGATCTCTTTCCCATTATCTTTCCCTGTATAAACAATTGCAGCAACTGGTATTTATCTCCCCTCATAACATGTCCCAAATATTGTAGTTTGCGCTTTTTAACAGTAAGTATCAGCTCTTTCTCTTTCCGCACTCTCCGCAAAACCTCTCCGCAAAAAAAATATTCGTTAAAATTCATTAAAACGGGGCCCAAGACTACCCGAGTGCCTGATTCCCTTATCAGAAAGTGTCTAGCATCTGTGTCACACAGTCCATGAGTGTAATTTTCGCTTGTTTGGTGCGGTGCATTACTTTGCTGTTATTGATGTTTATAGACTAAAGATTTTTTAAATGGATAAGCCAGGAACGTCGGGAATAAAAACAAGATGTGCTGTGGACTGCGAAATTTTTGGACAACCATAAAATATTCCTGAAAGTGTGTTACCGACGTTTGAACAAGTGATGAAATTTTGTGCTTGGAAGAGGCTGAACAAAAAACTTACCAAGAAAGAGATACCGTTTTCCGTTATTGCCGAGGAGGTTGCCATGAAATTGGAGGAAATATGGAGAAAGGCTACAATTCCAATAGTTTCACGTACAAGAATAATTCATCTTTTAAAATCCTACCACGACAAATACACCAAGCTTATGAAGCCATTTAAGAGCAGGAAAAACAGTAAGTCTTACCAAAATAAAATTCTATGCATTCAGGAGAAAAGTAAAACTATTTTCGATCTTGCAGCATGCAAATGTAATACTCTATTGAATTGCCTTTGTAGCAAGTCTCAAAAAGTGCCTCTCGGTGAACGAGAGTTTTTATTAGATCAAAGAGGTCCGAGAAAAATGGTGATAAGCACAGTTGACAGAGAGAGAACAAGAAAATATATTCAGAGAGAAGAACGACAAAAGACGAAAGATGCCGTAGTTATTGAGAATGATATTAATCCAATACCTGAATGCGATTCTTCTTCAAGTTCAGAATCAAATAATTTTATTAATGATAATGATGATGATGATGTTACGTTTCAAGATGATGTTTCTGTACCTTCAACCTCTAAAGGTGTCAACAAAAATCAAATGAGAATTCAGTTGAAAAATTTTGCAAAAACATGTGACAGACACGGCATATCTGATAGATCTGCAGCTGCTCTTGCATCCGCCGTTTTAACCGATATAGGATAATTACATCAGCGGACTCTTCTAACGTTATCGACAAAAATAAAGTTTAAATTAAAGTTTAAATAAATAAGGCTTAAATGTCGTTCCAATATTCAGAGACTACAAGAACATTCGACGATTAACCTACGTGGGCTTTACTTTGGTGGACGCAAAGACCAAACTTTAGCTCAAGTAAGAAAAGATGCACAAGTTTATCGTCAAACGATCATGGAAGAACACATAACACTTGTGCAGGAGCCAGGATGCAACTATTTGGGACATGTTTCTCCGCTGTCCGGTACATCCGAAAATATTAAATTTTCCATTATTCAATTCCTAATAGAAAATTCAATCGCATTACAAGAAATTGAAGCTATTGGTTGTGACGGCACAGTCGTAAATACTGGCGTTAAGGGGCGTGTAATACGACTGTTAGAAGAACATCTTCAAAAACCGCTTCAGTGGTTTGTATGTCTGCTACATGCAAATGAACTACCCCTTCGACATCCTTTTCACCATCTTGATGGAGATACTTCTGGACCTAGAGGATTTTCAGGTCCTATTGGTAAGCAGTTATTACAATGCGACCAACTGCCAATCGTTGCGTTCAAACCAATTAAAGGTAATTTACCCACGATTCCCGAAAGTATTTTGAAGGAGCTTAGTACAGATCAAAAGTATTTGTATGAAATGTACTACGTAGTATCCAGTGGCCAGTGTACTACCAGCGTTACAGATCGAAAACCCGGACCCCTGGCACATTCAAGGTGGGTAACAACTGCCAATCGCTTTCTTCGGCTCTATGTATCGAGTATCGTGCCACCGGTGAACTTAATCTCACTCACAAAATATATTATGAAGATATACGCTCCAATGTGGTTCAGCATAAAATCCCAACCCACATGTAAATATGGTGCAAAACATATTTTTAAAACCATTCAATTATCTCAGTACTTAAATAGCGAATTAAGGGCTGTAGTCGACGTTGTAATTCAACGAGCTGCATATTTCGGTCATTGTGAAAATATACTTTTAAGTATGATATCGGATGAACGACTGCATATTCGGGAACTTGGATTACGCTGCATCTTAAAAGCAAGAAGGTTTCCAGCGACAAAATCAAAAAACGTGAGAGTCTTCAAAATTTCTCCTATAAATTTTGATGCAAACGACTACTTTTTGAGTTAATTAATTGGCAAGAGTGTAACCTTACGGAACCACCTATCTTCTCTAGAGTTTCGAATGACGATCTGCCAGATTTTATTAAGAATCCGGACTTAGACCCTTTGAATATTGAGAAATATCACTGCCACACACAATGTGTAGAACGATGTGTCAAGCTTGTGACAGAAGCTTCTCAAGCAGTTTGTGGAGCGGACTCGAGGGATGGATTTATAAAAACGCGAGTTGATTCCAGAAAAACTATGCCTCACTTTAACACTAAATCAGAATACATCTTTAAATAGAATTGTTTTACCATATTTTTATAATACTTCTATAATACACCACTTTAAATTTATAGTTTTTTTTTTATTTTTATTTCAGTATTAAAAAAAACGTTGGTGACATCATAGAGACAGAAGGAAAAGTTGGGCTATTTTGTTATAAAAAAATGTTGGAGAATATTTTTCTTAACTAAAATTTTTAATTGATTTGTAGAACCAGAACATATTTTAGACCGAATTTATTAATTTAACTTTTATAAGGTATTAACTTTCCGTTACAAAGAAAAATGCGCCTGTTAATGTAGTTTTTCTAATTTTGAGTACCGAGGGGGGAGGGGGGCAGAAAATATATTTTTAGTTCAACGCAATTTTACTAAAATATTAAATAGTGTCTTATTTAGGCAACTTTTGTGAGGTATTCCATTTTCGTCTCAAAATAAAAATTATTTTGTCTGTTAATATTTTTTTCAAAATGTTTAATTGTCTTGGGGGGCAGAAGATATTTTTCAATTTCGACCAGATTTTACCAAATTACTTACCAGTTGATTGGGCAACTTTTGTGATGTATTACTTGTCTATTGCAAAAAAAAAATTTTTTCGCCTGTTTCGATGCACCCTAATGTAGGTACTATCCGTTGCAAGATAATTCGGGTGAAATTCCCCAGACTAAGAGACTGGGCCGATATCAAACACAAAATGACTGCACTCCCTTAATGCTGTAACGAATAGTCACCTTTCGTCTTTCTCCCTTCGTCCACCCTTCGGTCTTTCGTTACATTAGGTTCAATTTTAAATTCTATCCAAAGTTTAAAGGTACTTTACTAAATGATACAAAGTAGGTGTAGCCAGGTACGTATTTCAATTTTGAGTTAACGATTGGTAAATAAAATTTTAAGCATAATTTTGTGTACCTATTTAAATTTAATCGGTTAATTGCATTTGTACTTGAAATTCAGAATTACAAATTTCTAGGTACGTAAAGCCAGTATTTATAAGAGATTAGAAAATTTCTTGGAATTTTATTCAGGTAAAAGGATGGTTACTTAATATCAAATTATCACTAAATGTGCTTCTGTGAGAAGAAAGTTTATTTGAAAAGAATCTCATTTTTCTTTAGTCATTCATTTTGAACAGGTCAGTGTAATAACTATAAATATGAGTGATATAGAAATGATTAGTGACGATGTCCTGTACATTCCTGCCACTATTTCAGGAAGTGAAGACGAGTCTAAACCTGAAACACGTTCTGATTATATTCATCTCACACACGATGCAAAGCAAATCGTGCTTAACGTTTACAACGGTAAGAACTGATTAAAAATACTCTTTAGTTAACTTTCCTAATACCAGATGAATTTTAAAACGACCAGTACCAGGTAGGCCAACTTCTCGCCCCGGAAGTTTGGTTCACTTTTAAGCGCAAGGATTCTATGTATCTCATTAATCTAATTATTTTTTTAACTCTTTATTGTCTGTATACTTTGTTTAGTACTAATTCAACAAATTAAAAATCAAAGACAGAAGACAGTCACATTCAGAAACTCGCCAAATAAACAGGTAAGTTTAGCAGTTATCAGATATCAGACGTACTTAGGGCTAATTGCACTTTACAAATTTTTAGAGAGACAATCCCAACTAGACAGTGATGCTTCGAAGAATATAGACAAAAATATGATAATAGGGGAATTATAAAAGTTAACACTGTGTAATAGCAAGAATGGAATTTCATAGATAAAGAAAACACATTACAATCAACTGCTAATATGTATAGAATGCGACTGCACATCATGGCAAGTAATTAGTACATTGACGAATTCGTGAACCCTCTGATGATAAAGCATCATCTGGCCCCTGGTCTACCTGGCCTTTCGGCATACGACCATTAGCTAGCCACTAACCCCTACGAGTCCGACACCATTTGAGGGTGGCACGTTGCACGAAGCATCGCTGGATTCCACCCTTTCCGTAGTACCTGTGTTGCGGTACGCACACCCGTCCGTAATAGGGAACTTGCATAAAATTTTTAAATTCGAAAAAAATGCCTTAAATCATAAAACATAATTTAAAATATATATCAAACAAAAAAAAGTTGTTTTTATCTTTAGTTTGGCCCCTAAAAACGATTACAATCGAGAGAAAATTCAAATTATAGCAGCCAGCCCAACACGAGGCCTCATTGGTCGTGACGTCATATAGTCAGAATGTTCAAAGATTGGCACTATTAATTCATTACGTTTGACATTCGTTTACTTGTTATAGTAATTTTGTGGTGTATTTCAGTTTTATAAATCTTTAGATAGTTGCTGTGAACTATATATTTAATAATATTTGAGTGTTTTTGTTCAGATATTTTTTTTAAAATGACCGAAGAGGGTTTTTTCCAATGGCCAGTCTGATAACTTGCCCATTGTAAATATGTTTATGGTAGCCACATATTTTCAAAACGGTGAAAATTTTTCCCTGGGAGAAGTTCGGGGAGTTAAAGCAGATAAGTAAGTACATATACTCCTATTACATTAATTTTATTGTGATTATTATTCTCATAATAAGTATTTAATGATAAAACTTAGTACTTTATATTAAGTAGTGTCAATATTATATGTTTATGCTATTGTACTGAAATTTAATCAAATTAACTTATTCATCGTTTGCATTTAGATCTGGCACAGAATCGTATAGAGATGCAGCTGTAGGATGGGTTCAAGTAAAAAGAAATAACATGATCTGTACTGTACTGGTAATCTAATAAATATTTTGTTGGGGGTTTTAATGGTTTTACTTTTACACAATGGTACTAAACAACACTTGTAGTATTTACTTTTACTTTCCGTAGTAAAAACACACACAATTCAACACTCTCTATTCAAAAACTGTATCAAACACCAATATAAACAAAATAGTTTATACTTTTATACAAGACAGGAGACCTGACATACAGACAATACCACCAAGTGACGTCACAAGGGTTCGCGCGCTTTTTCGATCGTTTGAAATGATTTTTATACACGGAAGATTTTAAATTTGTATTGCTAAGTCATTATGAGTTTTTGAGGCGTGAAATTTTGGAAATCTTATTTTTAAATGAAACTGAACGTTATTATATAATAAAAAAAATGTGCAAGTTCCCTATTCCAGCAGGGATACTTGCCCCGGCTGTATTCTTATCTCCGCGAGCCGGACGGAGGTCATTAGTAACCATTTTCCAACTTTCGTCTAATCTGATAAAATCAGATTTATAAAACGTGAAAACGCTCGATACCACGTGGGGCGAATTCTCGCCCCAGATACATTTCCACGAAATCCGACGAGAATATTTAATTTTCTGTTAACGATATTGTGGATTTTACTACTTCTTTGTGCTATTAATACATCAACTACCAATGTCCTAAACCGTCAAAGCGATTGATTAAACTTAATTACAGATATTAATAAAAACGGTTAGACCTGGGGCGAGAATTCGCCCCATCCGGTATTAGGAAGGTTAATCATATTTACCGATTAAATAATTTAAAGGAGGTATTTAAAATCTAATGGTTTTATGACAATTATGGAATCCAGGCGTTTAATAAAGTGCAGGTTCGATTATTTGGAGAGTCTAAGGTCTTTTAGGAGTGAAGAGAAGAACTTGTATTATTTGGTTCGACACCCACGATATAGTTAAAAAATGTTGAACCGATGGTAGTAAAAATTGCGTCGCCAGTGTACCTCCCTCTAGAGGAAAGAGAATTTGTATTTTACATTGTGGGGGAGAATCGGGATGCTTTATTACTCGCTGCTAAGAGTGTAAGTGATTGTCGTTTAGATTATCATCAAGATATGGACAGTACATTGTTTGAAAAGTGGTTTGAGCAGCAATTACTACCTAAATTAAAAATAAATAGCGTTACTATTTTGGATAATGCTCCGTATCATTGTCGACTGAAGAGTAAAATTCCAAACATTAATTCAAACAAAGCTGAAATTCAAGAATTTTTATCAAAACATGAAACATAATTTATGAATTCTTACACAAAAAAACAACTTCTAGAACTATTAAAATTAGTTAAATGTGAAAAAAATTATGATATCGACAAGCTAGCTGACAGTTATGGCCATAAAATAATGTGAGGAAAAATAATAATTCTCCTAAATCATTTTCCACTATTGTAGATTTAATTAAGACCTAATGTAATAATACTACAGCAGATCATTGGAAAAAATGTATAGAGCATATCAAAAGACTAGAAGAAAAATACTTATAGGTCGAAAACATTATAAATAGAGTAGCTATAGATTTAAACGATAGCGATGATGATGATACCGATTTAAATGTAGACGATAGTTAAGTTTAAATTTTTTTGTATTTTTTTCACTATGTTAAATATATATTTTTTTCTACTCTCTTACTAGTAAATTGTATATTACCTACTATTTGGATGCTAAGTAAATGCATCATAACAGATACTGACACGTAATGACTAGCACGTAATAAAAAAAATTACGCTTCAGTTCTATAAAAATGTGTAATATCACATACGCCTTGTAAGTCAGTTGGTCGAGTTACCATGGAAACGAGTTAACAGGCGTTGTTTTGACAGGTTAAAAATTATTAATCTGTCAGTGTAAATATAGTGGTAATTTAATTTTTATTTTTATAAACAAAAATAATGGTAGAAAAAGTATAGTACACAACTTGAGTTGTAAGCTTATTACATGCTTGTAAAATTACTGCGCTCGCCGCTACGCGGCTCGCGCGCAACTTTTTTACTCGCATGTAATAAGCTTCTTACAACTCTCGTTATGTAATATACTATAATATAAAAGTATTTCTTATATGTATTTTTCTTTTACTTTGTGGGAATGTCGTAATTTTGATAAATGTATCAGTATATACCGACCCTGTATACAACTATAACTAGAGGAAATCCGAAGTATCTTGCAACGAACAGTATGTAAATATGATTTTCATTCAGCTATGGATAAATACACAAAGTTATATCAATACAGTAGCGTACTCTGGTAATTATTTTTCCTATAATTGCCATACTAGTCGGTGCGTTTTGATTTGGTTTGAGTCTTCTTAAGACCCGTTTCACACTACGTCTTATTGTACGTTTTGTGGGTCATATAAAACGTACGACAAAATGTACGTTTTGTCCAGTGTATACACACCATGTTTTTCCTTCCGTTTGGATTTCATTTCGATTCGACAAGACGTACGTTTTGCTGTTTACATGCAACGTTTTATTGTATAGGATTTGTCCTATCCAACAAAACGTACAATAAGACGTAGCGTGAAAACGGGCCTTTACAAGTCTCTCTGATGACGGGTGGACCCAGAAACACATATTAGAGAATGATAGGAGACTCAAATTAAATCCAAACGCAACCGTCTACGTATATTTATTTTATATCAATGCAGTTCAATTTACCGAAAAAACCGGTTTTCCGAACACCCATGTCCCGGGATTTAGTTCAGATAATCGACGCTCCACTGTATAAAGGCCCGTTTTCACGCTATGTCTTATTGTACGTTTTGTTGGTCATATAAAACGTACGACAAAACGTACGTTTTGTCCAGTGTATACACACTATGTGTTTCCTTCCGACAAGACGTACGTTTTGCTGTTTACATGCAACGTTTTATTATATAGGATTTGTCCTATCCAACAAAACATACAATAAGACGTAGCGTGAAAACGGGCCTTAGGAAAAATAGTTAGAACTTTGTAGTATTATATATTTTACCTTAATGTTTCTGATTTTGAAGTGTCCTGTGAACGTTTCGATAGCCGTGCACGTGTAGACGCCGTCATCTGCTTCCGTCACATTTTTAATCAGTAATTCGTCAGTATCGACCACGAATTTTTCATTGGTTTGAATTGCTTGATTGTTCTTGCTCCAGTCAATTGTTGGTGTCGGGTTTCCTTTAGTTTTACATTTTACATTGAAATCCTGACCTACGACCGAATACTGGTTTTCGGGAGCGTCGACAAAACTGATATCCTCTAAAATAAACAATATTTATTTAATAAACTGAATACAAACTTGAATACGCCGATGATAATATATAACACCCATTATAATATTAATTATAAAACTAAAAAAAAACAGCGAAATAACGAAAAGAAAACTTATGATAATGAACAACATGAAATTTATAATAAATGATCTCATACTGAATCAAATTTATATAAATAACAGCGTTATGAATATGTACAATTTAGTGTATCTGAGATCGTCGATTTATCAATAATCCTGGAGTGCTACCTGGAGTACAGGCACTACTCTTTTTTATTTCTAACAGTATTTTGTGATAGAGCGTGCATCACTGCTGTCGGTCCGTATGTATAGTTAGTTAACTTTGCTAAGTTAGTATAAGTGTTTGTGGATGTCAGTGAGCTGTCAATTTAGGTTGATGAGATATTACGCAGTTGCATGATGCAAAAACTTAAAGAAAGTTTTCGGACTGTTTCTGTAAAAATCTAAATAAAATGTAAAAAGAAAAATTTTTAAAAACATCACAATTTTACTTAATTTTTTTAACCAATTATTTACTTATTTTGGTTCTACCTATCACGATGAACGCGATGAAGTTATTCTTGACTTTGTGACTGAAGGAAGTCACACTGATTCGGATTAAGGTCAGGAAGAACAGCGTCCAATGAGTCTCGCAAACAGTAAGAGTTTTCATCAAAAAATAGTGTCAGCCACTTTTTCTAACAGAATTTTAGTAAAAAAAATGTTATTTTAGGTTAGGTTAGTAATATAAGTAACAATAAAGTGCATGTGAACAAGTAATTAAGATAAAAAATACTAAAGAAAGTATGGATATTAAAAAAAAGGAATACGAAAAAAATTAAAAAAGTGCCTCAATTAGTAAATCAATTTTTTATCATAACTTAATTCATTACACTTGTGTAGCTAACGGGGTAAGTAGAATTTCCAGAAGTTGCAGAAGAAATAAGAAATCTATTTCCGTTGGTGAATGGTTTTATAAATTTTATAAAAAGTTTTTGTAAAGATTCCGTTAAGGGTGGAGATATATAAAGAAAGACTTCCGGGTATCCCCTTGCAACCCAAACCAATATTTACAAGGGGGTGAACATGGCTCGAAACAGTTTTTTTTTACATTTAGATTGCATGAAATAGAATTAGTAATGTCAGAATTTGATGATATTTCCGAAGCCATTCGAGAAGCCAAACAAGAATATTAAAAAATCCGAAATTGAAAAAGCAACTCGGATACATCAATAACAATTATGAATTAAGAATTGAAAAGACTGATATGATTTTGTACACACTTATGATAAATGAAATAATGAAAAAGAAAAGTATTTTCAAAGTGGGTAATTTTTTTTTTCAAAGAAAAAATTTAATTTCTAGAATTTTTAACTTTTAAAAAGGAAAAATTGTGTATTTTTCCACAAATGGGATCTCTCTCTAGTAGTGATGCTTTTTAAAAACTTGACCATAGCTCTGAGGATGGCTTTGAACGCCAACAGCGCTCAGCTAGGAATTAAAAAAATTTACACACTTCAACAATGGTATTCTTTTTCCATTCTTTGATTTACAGAAAGAAAGAATGTACACAATTACCTCATTAGAAAACCAAGAGAGAAATTTATGTGAGTTAGTAAAATTAGTCGATAATTTGAAGTCAAAAACTAAATCGGAAGTAGGAGCCGAAGTAGTAAGGTTTTTCGTTGTTATCTAATGTTGCTAAAATTTTGACATTTTCCGAGCATTTACAAATTGAGCCAGATGCCAGATTGATTATCCACCTTGAAGTATGCTCCAATTAAATCTGTCGATGTAGAACGTTCATTTTCAATGTACCATTTTTAAGACCAAAAATATTGAAAAACATTTAGTGGTAGCAATAAATGATAAAATTTTAAGTGGCTACAATGTTTAGTTATTAATTCCCAATTATTTAGTTTTTACTTTGTTATGTTACTAATGCTGTGTAAATATATTTTTGTTAAGTTAATATAAGTTAATTCACTTTGTATTTGCCTATAATGCCTATATGTTACTATATGTTCATATTTCTGCCATCTTCAATAAAAAATTTTGTCTATATAAGTACATTTTTCTTTAATTTTTGACAATCTTCGGTTTAAAATATACGAAAACATTATAAATATGTATTAAAAATGTACGCACAGATTAAAATCTTAACAAACACATTAAAAATTTTTTAATTAAAATGGTCGTGATTTAATATTTCATTAAAAAATAAGAGAAATACATACCGTATGTTGTAACTTCAACAGATGCACTGAGCGGTTCGGTATTTGCATAAAAACAGGAACAGGTATATTTTCCTGCTTGATTCTCAGTCAAACTGGGAAAAATTAAAATTATTCCAGGTTCACCAGGTAAATTCTAAAATAACAAAACATATTTTCATATATCCAATACTGTTATAGACAAATCCAATTTTAGGTATAACTACTAAACCAACAAAAAACATTTATTTTTAAAATGATTTTAAGAATTTATAAAATAATTAAAAAAAACGATGATCGAAGTTCAAATCGAAACGTCAAACATTGATTAGTGAAAAATGTAATTTTCATTACAACTATTAATGGACTACCAAGTCTGACGTCACAGTGGGTGGAGATTTTAAAAATAGTTCCAAACATTTCTAACTTGTGTGTATTTTTCCCATAGAAAGTTGGAAATATTGGTTTTTTTAATTGTTTGAAGAATTAATAAGGACTATTGGCTGTGAACATTACTTCTGTGCGATTTGTCTTATTTGTTGTTCATGAATTTGTGAGAGATTTCAAGAATATCAAAGTATTAAGATATTTACTATGAATGTTTTTAAAGTTATGTATTACAACTAATGATTACTATGATGAAACTATGATTAAAACTAATTTTTTTTCTCTGCATTTCAAGGTATTTTTTGGTTTTATCAGTGCTATTTCAAAATAAATCATTGAATTTATTTACGAAGTTGAAAAATATTTAAATTAATGTTTATTTATATTTTCGTTGCCAGTGATTTTATCCTGTTAAATACTATATACTTTTTTTCGTAATTTAAGTTGTAATATAAGATTCTGTGAAAACCTTTCTATCAATTGGCATAATGAGTGTCTAAAAAGATGTTTTTGAATGTTGTAAGAATTTTTGAGTCTATTTTTTAGATCTGGGCATATAACGGCTAGTAAACATGTGTTGAAGATATCCAGTATTACGGAATTTTTCAATAATGACAACAAAACTACTATTAACTATTTAAACTATGAGAAAGCGAATATATTTAGTCATTTAGGGGACTTACTTAAAAAGATTTAAACATTAACTTAAATATTTTTTAACTTCGTACATAAATTCAATGATTTATTGATTAATTTTCAAATAATCGCGATAAAAACAAAAACAAAATACCTTGAAATAGAGTAGAAAATAATTAAGGCTTTAATCAAACCATAAAATGACCTTAAAATATGAACATTCATAGTAAATATCTTAATCCTTTGATATTCTTACCTCACAAACTCTTCTGCTTCTTCAGCCTTCATTTATCCATTGTTGGACATAGGTCTCTTCCAATTGCTTTCCACGCTTCCCTATCTTTTTCAATTCTCATCCACTGCTTTCCAGCTACCGCTGTTATATCGTCTATCCATCTCTTTTTGGGTCGTCCCACGCTTCTTTGTTTCTCGAGGTCTCCAGAATGTCACTTTATGAGACCATCTGTTGGTGTCTTGTCTTGCTACATGTGCTACCCATTGCCATCTAATTGTCGCTATTTTTCCCACGATGTCGGTTACGTTCTTCGACGTATTTCGGTGTTAGGAATTTTGTCTCTGAGGCTTATATTTAACATGGCCCTCTCCATATGGCCCGTTGAGTTACTCTGGTAGTTGCAACTGGTAGTATACAAGGTCATAGGTTTTTCGTTTTAAATGTATTGGGATTTTGCTGTCTTTTAAAATGAAGCTCAACTTACCAAAAGCAGTCCATGACAATTGTGTCCGTCTTTTAATGTCTAGTGTTTGATTTTTAAAAAACTCACGAACATTAAATAATACCAATCGCACAAAATGAATGTTCATACCCAAAAGTCCTCATTTATTTTTCAAACAATTTAAAAAAACTATATTACCAACTTCTTATTGAACAAATACACAAAAATTAGAAATGTTTGGAAAGGTTTTTAAAATCCCTGACCAATGTGACGTCAGAGCTTATGTAGTCCATTGTGTTTCAAACCTATATAAACATAATACTTAAATTTGATATGCTACAAGGAAACAGTTTCAGAACCTTTTTAGAATATTTAGTTACTTTACCTGAACGTATATCGGACTTGCTCTATTAAATGTATCAATTTTCCTATCATATTTATCTTTCCATTCTAAAGAAGTCACCAATGAAGGATCCGGAACCTTAGGTCGACAAGTCAAAACTAAGCTACCTCCAATCTCTTTAGTAACTACCGATCCACTGGGTTGAATCTCCAACCTGGGTTGCTGCCCATGTGTACCTGTAATACAAAATAATAAGGGTATAATAACGTTAATTAAATACTTTCATTATTATTTAAATTTATTTATTCAATTATAAAGCGCCACCAATGGTTATAAAACTGTATTTTGCTATGGCTGATGGCTAATTTACAGAATTAAAACATAAGGAGCTTTTAAAATTAAGATAATGTTTAGATTATTTCACGTTTTACCTATGGTAGGCAGCGAAAAAGGAAAATAGAAATATTGAACCTTTGACTACACGCGCCTGAGTATCAAATACACCATTTCTACTTTGAAAGCGGTAAAAATACAATGCGGTATTCCTTACTCTTGCCTCCCGATGTAACCAGTCCACGACCACCGTGTTTACCAACAGGCGCGCACACAGTTGCGCTTTGATAGCTGGAGAGTTAGTTGGTTTACTGGCAATTTTTTTGGTACTTTTAGATGGACCAAAAATCCGCTAAAAAGCAAATTTAGTAAACTAAGCGCTAAAAAACTTAAAAATCTTGCCCGGTGGCAAACAACAAGCAAGGGATATTCAAAATTGAGTAGATGCTTTTATGAGAATACTCACAGATGAAATGATATGAGATATGAGATCACGGATTGCTCTTGTGGCCTGGATACAAGAAGCAGAACCATACCCACTTTTTGAACTCTGGAAGATACCAGCTCTGAAATTTTCGGGCATTTATTAGTAAAAACAGATTCATATTTTTACTTGTCGTTATTCGATTCGATAATAAAAATTAACGGAATCTAAAAAAAGATAGATAAGTTAGCTGCAGTAAGATATGTCATAGAGAATTGCAAGAACAACTACTATGTGGTTGAATTTTTAACAATTTTAAACTGAAATTTTAAGTTGAAATGTTGACACCGTTTCGAGGACGTTGTAGTTTACTTCAATATCTTCCAAACAACCCGGCGAATTATAGACAGAAACTTTTATATTGTACGAAGTTAAAAAAATTCATGTGGCATATTTTGAAATTAATGGGATAAGCAAACCGAAGGCCACTACAGCATGCCAATACAGCTACTGTGATAGTTCACAAGAAATACCGCATTGAAAACAAATAAAGCGGCCGTATTGATCTCAGCAGTTCGTGGGGATGGAGATATATATCCAGTGTCTAGTAAACCTAATATCATCTTAAATACAACTGTTAGTAATAGTTGATACTGTTAATAAAACGTGTGGCACATATTCAGTATCAAGAATAACAAGAAAATGGCTAGTTAGTTATATTACTTCTAACTCATGAAAATCGCGGGAATCATGGACAACTGCGCTAGTTGTTCTCGGACGCGACAAGTTCACGTTCGAGACGCAATCGCCCCGCCCCTTGTATTTTTTCCTGTTGGCTCCTCCCTGACCTGGTAATCCTAATCGCTACTTCGGAAGTAAAAAAATTAGGCGATTTTCAGGTCAATCAAGTCAGTCCTTCACGGGCTACTCCGAGAGCTTAGTGCTCTCGGGCTACTGCTTCCTTTTTTGCTTTCCATACTCTGTGGCTGAGTATTATTTCAACGTGAATTGGTGTTTATTTCGACTACCTCCTTTTGTTCATGTAAGGAATATCTTGCCTTTGTCAAGGCAAGTCACCGAACGACCTACAACCTGATTTTGTTTCGACTTTCTCACATATAAGTCTGTAAAAATAACTCGTCTGTTCTCAAGACAGTCATCAGAAGAAAATTTACAAGTCTATATCCAGTAAATAGACTTGGGTAGAAGGTGCCATTCGCTTGACTTCTCCGAAGCCCTCCTACAGAGCACCCGGAGGCAATAGAAGGAGAAAAGTAGACCGCTATTTGTTCCCACCGCGGTGGGCCACTAATTAATGCAACTTATGGCGATAGAAGCCTACAAACACACAGAAGGGAATTTGTCAAAGTGCTCGCCTTCAAGGTTTAATGAAGCCGTACCTCTCTGAACGCGCCAACATACAGTCATTGCACCATATGAATGTAAAATGTATTTATGACAAAATTACAAAAAAAAAACGAACCAACAAACTGCAAGGAGGAAGGCCTCCTGACAAAAATAACGAAATAGGGTGTATTCATTTTCGGAAGGAGAAAAATTCGGACTAACAACGATCCTTTGCAAATAGGTCAGCTTTAGCAAACAAGACATATGCATTATATTGCTTCATCTACATACGATTTCGAGAAAAATAGCAAAGCGATCAAGCATGATAATCAACAAACCATAGAATGTGAGGGAATTTTTTAATTTTTGTTCAGCTCTTCCTCTGTTGAAGATAATGTGTTTTTCAAGAATTGTATTACTTTTATATATTTCATTAAAACTATAGAAAAAAGAGGCGTAGACAAGATGAAGAAGAGAGGCTTAGAAAATTAGAGGTATAAATCATGAATTGTTTATCTCAAATTCACGAAAATTTTAAGTTAGAGGTAAGTGAAATTAGTACTAGAATAGACCAATCGGCAGAACAGCAGAACGATATAAAAACCGGTTTAGAAAATAAAATAGAACAACAGCAAAACTATTTAAAATATAATTTAGAAAGACAAATAGTTGAGTTGGAAAGAAAATTAATACCTAAGATTCTTTATCTACTATAGTTTCAGCAACTAATGTCGAAGCTGAACAAACAGCTTCATACATCTTTCAATAGCTGAATTAGGCACAATTATAACTAGCACAATTTTAAAACCATCCACATTCGATAATCAAACAGCATGCGAAACATAGTTTTCGATTCAAAGCTGCAGCTAGAGCACATGGCTATAGTGATAAAGAAAACGCAGCTTCGTTGGTAGTGTCGCTTTTATAATGCCGCCCCGTTATACCTCTCTCGTTCAAGCTTTAGAGACAAGATATGGGCACCAGCGATATTTATATAAGGCGATATTTAAAGATGATTGGCATTAGGTGGAGTTCTCAGACACCTAGGACATTTTCAGGAACATACTGGTCTACCGAGCCATTCATACGAATAGAATTAAAGGGAGGTTGAAATTCAAAGTTTTTGATTACAGATGATAACGCTAGATAAAAGCACGAATCTCAACGCAGGTGTATAGAGCGGTATAAAAACTTATCCATTCTTAACCCCCAAAATTAAAAAAGAACATACCAGAAAGATGAAGAAGCCACAACCGCCGATACCCCAACACACCTATTGTATCATAAACATAACGAAATGTAAAAAAATATCACGCAGTTTTACGTCGTTTAATTGAATTGTAATTTTTGTAAGTTGTCAGGAATTATCTTTTAGGGTACACGATGAATCGGAGACATTCGTTAAATCAAGGTAATTATAGAGAACTAATAAAAATGTTAAGAAATACGATTTGGAATTTCTAATTTTACTTTCTGATTCGAAACATTTAGCGTGTATCTAAAACAATCCAGAATGAATTAATAGAATCATATGTAGTTACATTTTGAGTAACGTTATTGAATCTGAGATTCAGGAAACCATTTGCTTTTCACTAGAAGTGGATGAAACTACCGACATATCATGTCATTCACAATTATCAATTTTGTTCGATACGCTTACGTCTTAATATCTATGAGAGGTTTTTAGGTTTTACAGACGTGAGTAAAAGCCATAAGGCTAGAACATATTTTGGTGTTTCAAAGGACAGATTAAAATTTTTGATATCAAAAATAAATGGTAGGGCAAACTATGACGGCGCTGCCGTGATGTCTGGTGAATTAAATGGTCCCAGATACGTATTCTGTAACTCGTGAGAGTGCTCGGCACGACAACTCATCGATGTGAGTACTCTCTCGGTCATCGCTCACATGGTGCTAAAAAACCCTATTCACTAAGATTCAGCGAGTCTACTACATTTTACCCAGCGTTGCCAAAGCGAACGAGTAACTTTGACCTATTATTTAGTTCAAATGTACCTACTGTAGGCCTAGCCACAACCATTTTCACGATAAAACGAAATGAAGAAGCAAAGTTTTTGCTGTTAGGTTAGTTGTATCTGATTGTATCACTTGTTTTGTCAATTCTCGTTCTCGTTATTTATAAACTATTATATTATTATACTTTTAACTTTTAAGAACTTTGAGTTATATTAAGCGTCTATATTCTTTGGTTATATATTAGTTATATATTTTTAGTTATATTTTATACTTTTAAGAACTTTTAGTTTATATTATATTAGTTATATTTGTTCTTTGGCGAACTTGTAAAAATGGCGTTAGTTCATCGCAAAGATATATAAAGCTGTCTTTATTGAGACGGAAATGTTTAATAAAATTCACCTCAGATAACATTAAAAAAGGGTCTTCCCGTTGGAAATAGAGACGTGGTATATTATTTCAGCTTGTTCTTCCGCCTCTTCAACATCGGCGATTAACATTAACATTATTATATCGTCATCATCCATTATGAAAACAATATATAAAAACCAAATACAAATAGGAATCAACAACCTTTTTAAAAATTTCAATAACCTTTCATATAAACTGTACCTATTGTATACAATATACAATATTCTTCGTTTTATTGGCCTTCTGTCACTTATAAATTTCTACCGGCGCATGTCCACTCTCTCTTAAAATTCTCGCAATTCCTCTTAGTTTACCCAGTAGAGTAGGGAGTACTCGCAATAGGAGTATATGAGCGTTCTCTTACATTTTCGTGAATACGGATTTTTACAAATTTCAGGAGAGTGACTTGCGCATTAAAGCAAAATTGGTGAGAGAGAACTCTCTACACGACCACTCACTTAAGTTAGTGAATAGGGGCTCCCAGGCAAAAGTTAAATACTATTGCACCCGCAAAGCTTTATTTACTCATTGTCATGCGCATCAGAATGAATTTAGTTTTGCAAGACTACATGTAAAAAAATTAAAGAATTGTCGTCTTTGTTTGCCAGTTTAAGCGGATTGGCTTCATTTTTTTTCAAGCTCGCCTAAACGGAACTAATGTTTTAGAACGTTTTGTTTCTGAAAAAAATGCCAACATTTGGTCAGAACGCGATGGAATTTTAAAATATCGGTTAAGTTTTCACTGCAGCAGATTTTCGTGAACAGCTTTTGGAAGTTTTTTGATTTTATTATTGAATTTGACGATTTTTGAAAGTGATGATATCTCGTTCCGTGAAGCAATCGGTTTGAAAACTGTATTAAATGGATTACTCTTTTATAACATACTTTTTAAAATATTTTTAAGAAAGTGTTTACCCAAACCGATTTGATATTCAATGTTGTTCAAAAAAATCAGTTAACTGACGTTATTCGTTCCAATAAATAGAAATAACAAGACTGGTGCAAAATTCTCAGAGATTTTTTCGTAATGATAGTAATTTCCCGTATATACGCAGTGACGTTTTGGACTCGCTTGATATTTCCGAATCCCCAAAAAACAGACCAAAGGCATGACACAGAAACAGATCTCGAAAAAACGAGTATATGTATTTTGAAATTTTGGATACTATTAATTATGCAAATAGATACTCGTTTTTAGAATTTTGAAGATTTGCAAATTTTTGACCTCTTTGACGATTCAAAATTAAAAGTTACGCCAAAGAATTTCCAAGATATTTATTAGACAGACTAATTAAAAAATTATCCATCATTCTTTAATAAATAAAATTAGAAAATGAATTAAAAAGTTTTATATGCTGATCCAAAGATTTTCGGAAGATGGGATAAGTTTACAAGATATGTATAATATTTATATACTGCAAATTCATTACAACAAACTGTTAGCGAAATTAATAAATTATTGTCATTAATTCTCTCATTACCACCAACGTCTGCTTCAAATGAACGAGATTTCTCTTGCCATCAAAAGAATCAAAACTTATTGTCGAAATAACATTTAACAAGAGAGAATGTCAAGCTTGTCTGAAATGTCAATAGAACAAAAAAACTTTTAAAATCTCTCCAAAACTCTAATAAATTTTACGATGACGTTATTACCCATTTTGCTACTTCCAAACAACGTAGACTAGAGTTAATTTATACACACGTTTAGGTTCTACATTTATAGAAAAAATCAAAAAAAAAAACAAAAAACAAGAAAACAAAAAAATCTCCTATGATGATTGAAGTCTTTATTAACGGTATACCTATCCGAGAGACAAAAAATACCTTGCCGACCTTGTCTCTCAAGCCAACGAGTCGCCACTGCGATATAATATAACAAACTTAGGAATGGAAAATCACCAGGGTCAGAAAACATTAAGAGTTAATTAAGCAGGGTGGTGAAAGTCTAATAAAAGTATTACACCACAAAATGCTTACTGAAATCTGGAATTAGCTACAAATACCAGATCAACGCTGTCTCTGAGTTATAGTCATATTCAAAAGGGCAACCCCAATAGCATTTGACAATTATCGAGGCATTAGGTAAAGCTAAAAATAGAAATGAATTGACAGGTTTAATTAAACAGATCAAGGCCCGATCTGGGCTGTGGAGCTAATGATGATCACTTTCAAAAGAATTTACAGAAATTACATATGCTTAATAAAACTTTTCCAGGAATTAACTTTAACAGTTCCAGTAGATTAAGTAGTTGGTCTGTGTCGTTTTAACTGACAAAAACCACGTGTTCAAGTCAAGCAAAGAAGCATGTTGCATTTAAGTAATAAAATCTGTATCCATTGTCATCGACCTAGACTAGCATTAGAATTTAAATTAAAAAATGTAAAACGATATATTGATGTCACCGCTACAATTTTAGTGTTAGCTTCAAGTATAAAAAAAGGCATTGAGGATGATCTGAGCTAGATCGAAAACGTTTCGTTATGCACCTGTAAAGTTTGAACGACACTTTTAAAAAGTTTTGTATACCAAGATACAAATTTGTAGTTTTTTACTTCTGTATATAATAAGTTTATTAACAGTAACATTTTCAAGGGGTTCGATTAAAAGCATTTATACAGAAAAGTATAAAAAATGAACATAAAAAAATTGCAGTACAATAACCTCAAATTCAAATGACAATATTTTAAATCTAAGTATATTTCTCTTGTGTAAATCTGGCCGGGTTTCAACTACTCACAATCAACAGGCTTAAATTAAATGAAATATTTCTTTCTAGTTTTTAAATGGATGTTACACTAGTTTATTTGTGCGATTTAGTGCGATATTGTCTAAGACATACAATGTGATAAGACATTAATTTTAAAGAACGCCAGTAATTAAAATTTATAACTAGGATTCACGAACAAACTTTAATAGTAACGAGCGAATATTACGTGTAACAGTTATAATGTTTAATAACATAAACCCATTAAAACATCTTTTATTACCTACATATTTTAATCATAACTTATACTGCATATACAAACATAAACATTCACATCCCACAGAAGTCAAAAGCCCAAGTACTAAGCAGGAAATTAAGCAGATGTTCATTAATACAATAACACCACTTGTTAATAATTGGCAGTACAGTAAAATATTTTTTGGTATGCATCATGTATTGGGAATATTTAAATTATATAGGGCGTATAAACGATGTTTGATGTAAACAGTCGATGTTAAATTATATCTTGAAGGGGAGAATATTAGAAGTTATTAAACATATTAAATAATATAGCGGAAATTGGATGCGATAAAAAATCATTAGTTCATCCAACCGTCTCGATTTGCCGTTATATGAAAATTTATTATTAGGAAATGCAGCTTTCCATCTCGTTTAACATTTTTTAATGAGGTGGAAATCTGCTAAAGTACACGGGAGAAGGTCGGCAACCCCACGCGTGTTGGGTTCAATAGAAAGGGGCTTGTCCATACTAAAAGTTCCTCAAAAATAAGGAATTATTATTATACATATGCGAGGCAGGGGAACAAGTCCCTATTATGCCCAAAAACAAAGAATTTTCATTAATAATAACCTACTAGTAAATAACAAAATTACAAAAAAAAACAAAATTACAATTTTTGATTTAAAAGAAAAATATTTTAACTACAATATAAAACGGCCAAGTCTGTTTTTGAACGAGTTGGTAGAGGGAGCAGAGACAATGTTATCACTAAGGTTATTCCAGCACTCAAAAACTCTATTTGGTAGAAAGTTCTGTCTTGATCTTGTAGAAAAGTTTTCTTTCTTTAGTTTAAACTGATGGCCTCTGAGGCGTTCACCTTGATTTATGGTAAATATTTCATCGAGATTTCTAAAATAAAATTTTAATATTTTAAATGTTGTAATTAGGTCTCCACGTTCTCGGAGAGGTTCAAAAGAAGTTAGGTTAGCCATACTAAGTATTTCTGCACAAGGAGGTCTTCTCGGTCCCAAAGGAATTCGAGTGGCTTTCCTTTGAACGTTTTCCAACAAAGTCTTGTCTCGAACCAAATCAGGATACCACGTTGGTCCAGCGTATTCAAGTATTGGTCATACGTAAAAGAGCGTAAAGTTTACAGAATGACTGCATTGAAACTCTCGAAAAACACCTCCGAATAAGATACACTCTGAAGTTCACACATTTACAAATAGAGGTAATATGGTCAGACCAAGTTAGGCTGCTGTTTACGATAACACCAAGGTCGTTATACGAAAACACAGAATCTAATGGCTGCCCGTTAACAAAGTACGGCACAAGTGGGTTATTTTTACCAATTCGAAGCACTACACATTTTTCCGCATTCAAGGGTAGTAGCCACTGGGAACACCAAGTTAAAATAGAGTCCAAGTCCATTTGGAGGGTTAGCTGGTTACTGATTGGATTGGCATATACTTTTGTGTCATCAGTGCAGAACGATATTTTACTTGAGGCATAAGAAACATCGCTAGTATAAACCGTAAAAAGCGGTGGTCCAAGGGCAGAACCCTGAGGCACTCCACTTTACACTAACCTGTTATGTGAGAAAGATTCGCCAACTCTAAATTTGTAATGTCGATCTGTCAAGAAATCATCTATCCAAAGAAGTAAGGTACCGCGAACTCCGAAATTTCTAGCTTATGTAGAAGT